TATGTATTGTTCTTCCTTTAATTGTAGATGCATTTATTATTTTTATAAATTTTCCCACAAATCTTATTTCCACGTGTTGCTTTTACATTTCTCTGTCTCCTGTATTTACTTTACTTCATGCATTTCTGCCTCATTATGTAAATAACGTGGGCAGTCCTTCTTGGGTCAGCTCGTCTCCTATTGGTCAGCAGACAGGAAGGAGCAGGAGCATGTGCAGATCGACTGTGCGTGCTTGTGCTGCCTCCGTTTAGCCTAAAGTTTAAGGTTTTGTTAGAAGCAAAGCCGCAGGTAAGTGTTTTCCTTGTTGCCTTTGTTTTAAACTAAACTTTAAGGTAAACTGAAGCAGCACAAGCATGCACTTACCCTAAACCTAACCACCCCACTCACTGAAACCTGAACTCAATTCACACCTTAGTCCTAAGCCCAGCCCTTACTCTCCAGTTATTAACAGTATTTTCCCCAATAGGGACTGGGCTTTTGTCCTCATAAGGAACACTGGGTCCTCACCAGGCTTTGGGAAATGGTCAAAATTTGTCCCCACCACTTAACAAAAACGTGCACACACACACAAACACAATATTTTGTTGCTGAGATACAGTACTATTTCTCTACCATAGCAGGTCCTGGAACCTTTGGACCCTCAGATAATAAACCCTTTATCACTGAAATTTTATTAATTTATTAATCTGCAGTCATGTCAGACAACTAACAGCAGCCATCGTCCTGATGTTAATCCTGCAGCAGAGGGTGTGTGCATGTTGATATCAAATCTGAGCATGATCAAACATGCAGCTACAATAGTTTGCTATTTGCCAGCCTCTTCAATGTCATTTGTGTCCCTCCGCTCTGCTTAGACTGGGCAGAGAAAGTGGGTCACGAGTGGATCTTACATAACACTGACACACCCCCATGACTCAGCCTAAACGAGCCAACTGGAGTCGTTTGAGGACACTGGCAAAGTGCTAAAAACAAGGGGAGCACCTGCAGCTCTTTCCTCACCTGGGATAAAATCTGATCCTAACAAAACACCACTACTCCTGTCTGACCTGCTCATTAAATACCTGTGTTCTGTATGGTCTGGTTTAGGTTTGTTTCATATCAAACTGGTCACACTCACTATAAACTGAACTAAACAAGCTGAGACATCACTGCTGTTTAGTGTGAGCAAATTAAAGCTTCTGGCTTTATAATGCTTCTTTTATCTGAGAGTATTTGTGTTAAAGTTCTGTGGTGGAACTTTTTTGTGTGTGTTATTTTATTTATATTTTCTTACAGGGGAAAAAAGCCAAAGCTTGTAGTTTTGATCAGCCTTTAAGCATAATCTGTTTGTGTATGACATTAGGGAATGTGAGTGGTCAGAGGATTTTGTCTCACATACAGCTGATTAAAGTTTCAAACAGTTAAGTTATAAAGGCATCAAACTATGTTTTGTCATAAAATCAATCAAGCTGACATGTGTCTCTTTCTATTAACCAGCAACCAGTGTGATGCCGATCAGGTGTGTTCTTGCTTTCAGAAAGTTTAATCAGCCAGTAAAACAGAAACCATCCGTGCAGGTATTTAGTCCTGTTATTAACTAACTCATGAGAAATAGAAGTAAAAATGTAATGTGAATGCTTTCACAAGGCACTGTAGCAGCAGGAGATTTTATTATATGAATGACACAAATATGCAGAAGAAATTGAAATGCAACAGGAACATAGTATGAATGCTGATCCATTCACATAAACAATCACAGCTGAAGAAAATTTGCTTCAAGTCTTTTAAAATGAAGAAATGAAGGGAGAGAGAAAATTATAGGATGGAAGTCTTGTGACTTCCTGACAGGACTCCTTTCAAGTCAAAGCTGCCTTTTCTTCTTTGCCAAACTATGTCTGACAAGAATTATGGCTCCTCCTAAACCAGCACGTGGCTGAAGGATGGAGGTACACTTCGCTGCAACAACAAATACTGAAACCCAGCCAGTTTGACGTATGTTAAAATAAAATCTTGTGTGGTATAAGCTGAGATATCCTTCTGATTGTGCCTTATGTTTTACCTTCCGACTGGCTCCTGCGTTGTGTTTTTGCATTTCTGTCCACAACTGAACTTGACATGCTGCAGATCAACTGAGACAGACTTTTCCTGTCCTCAGGTTGTTCTCAGATTAGCAGCATGGCTAAATCTTTATGTAAGGCCTGTTTTTTTCCACAAACAGTTTTTTAACTTTATGAAAATAAAATATTGAAAGCTTGTTTCTAAAGCTAGAATTTATATATTCCTGCAGACTGGCTTGGTCAAACCTTTAACAGGAACATTTACAGACACTTTTAGTGGGATCCATCATAATGGCCAAATACTGGTGTTTTTCCACGTCAGGTGTTTGGGCAGATAAG